GATCTTCATTTATCCTTAATTCTCGTGACTAATAGTTTAAGGTCATCACGGACCAATTACCTTAATCCATGTGATTATTAGTTTAACGACTTCTCGGTCCAATTAAAATAAAAATAAAAATAAGTTAAAATTTTATACACTAAGACTAAATATAATACTGCGCCTCACAATTAATAAATTTACTAGATATACTACGGCATTACAACAGAAAAAAAAATATCAACCGGGGAGATCACTATAGTACCGCAGCAGTGAAAATGTCGTTGGATCTGCGAGTCTCTGATCCTAAAAGTACGAAAAGAAAAAATTAAAAAAAAAACAATTATTTTGAAATGAAAATTAGCGCTTAATATAGTACCGTAGTAAACACTAAATATGTCAATCTTAAAAGAAGTTAAATTAAATATTAAAAAAAAAGCAAATCAGTGCTTATCATTTCACTGCAGCATCTCGATCGAACCCTGATCTGATCCTAAAAAGACGAAAAAAATATAAATAAATAAAAATAATTATTAATCTATATAATTAACTCCATATAAATAAATTGAATTGTGTAATGTGAAATGTGTGATATACTATTGGGGTCATGTGTAAGTTACAATAGCCAATTAATGAGTTTTATGTTAATCCAATGCTCGGTTAGTGAAATTCTTTATCGGGTTGGTCTTTTCTAAAGTAGAAATTTTTTTCTTTTTTTTCAAACTTTCCATTTTTTTTTAATTTTTTTTTCCCGATATAATCTATACTATAATTTTTTTTATTATTTATTTTTGTTTTTTAGACGAATCTAGATCAGTGATCAGATAGATTATGCTGCAGTTTTATATAACTTTGCCATATTTTTCAGTGATTATTTTGATGTTGAAAAGCATTAAAATTAAATTTTTAACCAGGAATGTGGTGGCCAAATTGAGAACATTTTATATGTTACAATATAATTTTTTTACTAAAATAAAATGAGCATAACTTTTTATATATTAATCCAATTTGAAAAATCAAATCACACTTTTATAGCCCTTGATATAATCTTTTAAGATATGATGAGTATTTAAAATAACATTTCTTTTTCATAGGGTTTAAGACTTGATGCCAAATAAAGGTAAATATTTTGTCAAAAAAAAAAATCTCAACTTTTGGTAAACCTGGTATCAAAATGTAACTAAAGGAGTGTATAAACAGTTGGTGATTTCAGAAATGCGAAAAAATCATTAAAATAAAACTTTGAACTCCTCCGTCTATTTTTCGTCCTGAGAATTTTTGGAACGGAAAGAGTTCCCCTAGCGTCTATTACGTCATAATGAAATTTCAATGGAACGCGCATTCCACTGTAGAACTATAACGATTTGGTGTAAAAGCAAAAAGATCAGTGTAAAGTCATGCGGGTTTACCACAAAATCCCGACAACTATAAAATCGAAAGTCTACAATCCTGACACCAAGATCCCAACAACCCAAATCCAGTTGAAATAAAATCCCAATAATCACCAATTCCGACAGTTAAAAATCTTGACAATCAAAATCCCAAAGTTTTTTTTTTAAATATAATTTTAAAAATGCAATGAACGCAGTAACGGTTAATTTATTGTAAATTTTATTAATACCAATGTAAATTATTTGCAAATTTTATTAATATTAATGCAAATTAATTAACGTTACTATATTATTAAAAGAAAAAAAATTTTTTCTTAGTCAAAAAGATTATGTACAGTATATTACTAGATCTATTCCTTCTCTTCTAAATTAGAAACAATTGCATTAAAAAAATTAAACTAATCTCAAATTCATCTGATCAAATCTCAGCCAGGATTTTGGCTGTCAAGATTTTAGATCATCGGGATTCTGTGACTGTCAGGATTTTGATCCAATCCGTTATCGGGATTTTGGTGTCGGGTTATAGACTGTCGATATTACAATGCCCATGGTAAACCATGTTTGCCACAATGACTTTACTAACGAATCCTTTATTTAATAATATAAAATATTAATAACATATAAAATAAATCAAATAATCATGCTTGGTTTCTAAAATAATTCATGAAATTAATAAAATTCTCATTAATTCATCCAATAGAATAATAAAATCATCACTTAAAATACTAAAATGATGAATAAATTCATCTAATAAAATCATAAAAGTCAAATAAAATAAAATAAAATAAATTCATCAGATAAAATTCATAAAATATTAATAAAACAAATTATTTCCCAAAATCAAAATTCGGCAATTTCTCCCTCCTGTATTTTTCAAATCAATAATAATTAGGTACATTCTGACTAACAGAACAATTAAGTTCGGAATTTCACCCATCTTATTATTATTCCTCATTATATAAACCATTATGTAAACTTCAAAAATTAGTCATCATTTTTGATCAATAATTCTTGCATAATTATTCACATTTCCAGATCTTCAATAAAGAACCAATGATCATAATGATCTACCATAAAAGTCGTTTCCAATCAAATAAATATTATATCGCTTCTCTTCGTTAAGGAACCAATTATTACTCAATTCTCAAACATTACTCACAGAATAGTTTAACGTCATTACTCATTACCGAGTCGGACGTATTTCACTTTAAAACATTTTAAAATTCATAGGTTTATACACCTAGAATAAATATACTACTGCGGTTTATAGTAATTAATTTAATAAAATGCACTGGCATACATCGGCCAGCTTAATTTCGGCCGGAATTAAAGATAATTTGGCCGGACTTATGAAAATCCGAAAATCAATTGCCCGAGTTCCGGCAGGCTTTCGCGATGAGCGTAAAAATTTGCGGAGTTAATAATTAACTTGCATAAAACGTTTTAAAATGAAATTGGTGTTTAACATAAATACTTGTAAATGCTGTACAATTAAAAAACTATTATTATTTTTCAAGAAATTCTTAAAAATGTCTAAAAAATTTAACAAGAACTTTAAAAATTTAAGAAATAACAGCTCAAATACTTTGAGTAAATATAAACATAAAGGATATAAATGCGGTTTGTGTTCCGAATATAAACTACCAAACAACAAATATTATTTCTGCAAAGATTGTTTTAGAGAAAGATTTCAACAGAATTTTGATAAATGGACTAGTGGAAATAAATACGTTGACAAGTTCATTCAAGAAACTCAACTAAAAGTAAGAAACTGTAATAAAATTATAGAATGGATTCCTTATAATAGATTAAGAGATATCAAATATCTTACTAAAGGCGGGTTCAGTACTATTTATAGGGCTATTTGGTTAGATGGAATGATATCTATAAATCATACAAAAAAAATTTGGGATAGGGATGGTGAAATGAGTGTTGCATTAAAGAGCTTAAATAATTCATCAAATATTAATGGTAATTTTTTAAATGAAGTAAGTTGTTTTTAAAAAATATACACACTATTTATTGTCTGGAGCGAAGCGAAGGACTATATATGTTTTCGAAGGACTATGTCAAATAGTGTCACATGACGATATCCGGTTGTCCGCACGCGTCACGTCATTGAAATTTCGTGCTACATCAGATGAAATAAATTTGTGATACATCAGATAAACAAGATAAAGGTTTACTTATAACCTTTTTTTTCGCTCCGGACTTACAACGGTTTCCGTTTCCTAGTTTTAATAAAAATTTATATTATTTATACTTATTTAATTTTTAGTTGAAAAATCATTGGCATTATTCAACTGTACAGATATATGGAATAACTCAAGATCCGGAAACATTGAATTATATGATAGTAATGAGATTAATGTGTAAGGGGAGTTTAAGATCTAATTTAACAACAATTAAATATATAGATGAAAAATATACTGGTCTATCGATAGCTGCGGCAGCACTTTCAATTTTACACAAATGCAATTTGGCTCATGGTGATTTCCATAGTGGTAATATACTTTTGGATGATGATTGTAGCACCCATATAAGTGATTTTGGATTAAGCAGACCTGTAAATCAAACCAACTTAAATGAAATTTATGGAATAATTCCTTATATTGCTCCAGAAGTTTTGCGTGGAAAACCATATACTAAAGCAGCTGATATTTATTCTTTTGGAATTATTATGTGGGAACTTACATCTGGTGTTCCTGCTTTTAATGATAGATCTCATGATTTTATACTCTCTTTAGAAATTTGTGAGGGATTAAGACCAAAAATTGTTGAAGGTACATCGCCAATATATAAAAGATTAATGAAGAAATGCTGGGATTCCGATCCTAATAAAAGACCAACAGCTAATGAATTAAGTGAAATTTTTTCTTTTTGGGGTTCTTATTATAATGATTATCCAATTAAAAGATTGTGTGAAAGAAAACCTATTCCTAGTAAGTAAAAAAGATTTAATATCTTTATTGAACAATTGATTTTACTTCTTACTTTAAGCAAAAAGTTTATTTTTATCTGATTTTATTTATTAAAACTTTTTAGGCAATGAATCTATTACCAAAAATCATCCATTATCTTGTTATACAAGCAGAAAAATAGATTATTCTGCGAAGCTAAATGAAATTTTAAGTAAGAAAGAATTAAGCACAAAATATATAATTGATGAAGAAAAAGGGTTTAATAATGAGATGACATTATTAAGCGAAAGTTTTGGTATTAATTTTTCATTTTTTTTTTCATCACATACAAGCGAAAATCTAATTTGTTTATTTTTAATTTATTAGAAGATTGCAAGATTTCTGATTAAGTAAATTTACAAAATTATTTTTTAATTACCTCCGCCCTTTAAATTTATTAATAGATTTTTAATGGATTCTCCAAATATTGAAGAACGAATTCGCATATAATTTTGTTTAAAAATTCATTAACACACTATGAAGTTTTAATTCTTTCTCGTTATATCGCTAAATTTGAGCGTCTTATTTAGAATGTTGCAACTTCCTGATTGCATTAACATAAATTTGGTTCTTATTCTTAAGATATTCGTTATATTACCATATTTTCCCAGGAACTCTGTTTTCATTAATTAATTTAGTCCCATTTACAATATAATACATTTATATTGAATCATTTAAATTTATTGAGAAGGCGTTAATATGAGCCCATCTTATATTCATCTTTTATTAAAAAGTAATCCGATTTTTTCATCAGTTTAAAAGAATGAGAACTAACTTTTTGCGCAACTGCGTGACCAAAATTTAAATTCAATTTTTCCATGTCTTCATTGCTAAAAATAATCTTATTGATCACCAAATGAATGAATGTAATATTCTTGCATTATATTTTTATTATGATGAGTTGCTCATTTATACATGGCAGACTTGTTGTCGGCTAGTCGGGTTATTAGAAAAGATATATAACACGATATAATGGCGTAGTATAAGTATAATAAAGTATAATTATATATACCATATAATGTAATTATGTTATATTAAAATTTAATTAAAGTATACCCGTGTTATTTCTTTTCTAATAACCAGACTAGTCGAGTAACCCGAGTACCCGACAATCCCGACAATAAAAATTTTCAAGTGTCTACTATATTTCGCTGTAACGAAAAATCATGTGCCTGCCCGGACCCGGCCCGGGTAAGAAAGTTTGCCGGCCCAAACCCGGATTAGGGTTTCCGAGTTCCGGGTCCCGTTTGCAGACCTCTAATATATAATGAAATGAACCCTTTTTATCACTACGACCGCTACGACCGTACCTTAAAATTTTTTTTTTATTTTTTTTTTATGCCCGGTGATTCTTTCATTGTTCAAAATGGCTTAGTGTTATATCGGTGAATATAAAAAAGGAGGTATTTGTTACATAAACAGCCGATCCTGAAAAAATTAAGTAATCCCGGTATCACTTATAATTCTTATTTTCAGGAGGAATTGCAATGTAATCTTTCACGTTCAGGAAATTCAATATTCACAAAAAAATAATAGATCGGATTGTCCTTTTTATTAATCAATCACATTCTTAATTACATTTTATTCATTCATAGATATAAACCGCATTTTTGAGAAAAAAATCCTTTATATTATATTTTTCTATTGTATTTCTCTTTTCGCGTTTCCTTCTTACATTCTTTTATAAACTTTTTCTTATTTCATCTTTAAAATTTTAAGGTATCAGTATTATATACATTTTTTTAATCGATTTTGTTTTAAAATTTTATTATACTGTATTTAGTAACGAAATTTTAAAGCACGTCGTGCTAGAGTCACAACAAAACAAAGACGGCAATGGTCAGCACGAGAGAAGTTAGAGACTGATGATAGTTGCATATCATGATAAAAGGCCATAGTAAACGATCAACAGAAATAAGTTTGAAATTTAGCCAAAACAACTTCGTGAGTGGATTAAAAATAAAAAAACAACTAATAAAAATAGCTCCATGTAGTCAAAGACTTAATAGAGGTGCACGGCCAAAATATCCCGCCCTTGAAGTTGAACAATTGAAAACTGTTACTCGTTATATTATTCAAGAAAAACGCTAGCTAAAAAGATATCTGGAATTTTCGTCTTTCTTTTTGGTAGCGGCAAGATGGATCCATTTGGGTTTGTCTCACGCTTTGTATTCATAAAACAGGATAGAGCGAAATTTCTTAAAGAATTGAAGGAAATGGAAGATGATAGAAGTACATTACTAAATAACTCGGAAAAAGATGTTGATAGTGTTACAGAAACGAATGATCTTAACGATCAAGCTGAATTTAAGAACCTGCTTGCAAAGTACTATATAGAAACAGATTTCTATGAACATGCCGTCAAGACGCTCGATGTGTAATAAATATTGTATAATATAATAAATTATACACGAAGTATATTATATTATATATTGTAACAAACACACTGCTTTGTAATATGAAATTATAAAAATAAAATGTACAGTATATCATATTATTAAACTAACCAAATTGACGAAATTAACCGTTTAAGTTCTGCCTATTACTACCCGCTGCTTTTATTTGTTATCATTCTTTCATGTTATTCCTCGTGTTTTCATTCTTGGAAAAAAAATATTAATATTTATCTTCTACTACAATAAGTCACGAGTCTACATATGATTGTCAATTATGTTAATTCTTTCTTTCCTTTTAGTTTCATACATAATATTATGAATTTACATTTTTTTTAGTTGAGGATTGTATCTATAAATATTATTGTATTATTTTAACTAATAACTATTTAATGATTTTTTTATGTTAGAAGAGAAGTTTATTAAAATCTTTTTACCTTTCAGATTTTTTTCCAAATTCCACCGGCATCACAATGTTTCATTGTTTCAAGGTCCAAACAAGAATGTTAGCCTTTCCCATCGTACTGTCATTTGGAAATCGACATTATGACTTAGATACTGTGTAAAATGGAATATATGGGAGATCTCCACAGGTAAATCCAGGGTTCAATCGATTACGTGTTTTCAGGTTTAAATTACGTAATCGATTTGACGATCATATACTAAAAATGGTTTAGGACGATTGAAAACTTAAGTTTTTTTTGTCGTATTTTTTATGGAATATATTTTTAATGAAGGTATTGTGATATCTTGTAAAAAACCAACTAATCGAAAAACGAAAACTTATTTTCTGACTTATAATCACATGATAATTGCAAAATCTCAAATCATGTGATTTGGTCCGTGTTGTTGAACGACCTTTAAAATATACATTATACCTTTCGTAATTCTATAATGTAATTATCCGGGCCGGGCACTGTTATACAACATAGTATACTATATAATATTCAATTTACACTTTTTTGTATATATTACAAGATTTTCTTTATCAAAAAAAAATTTCCGTACAGCCGTATATTATATAATTTTTTTTTTCATTTATGAAAAGATTAGCGTAACAAAAAAAAAAATATTTTTTTTTTTTGTCTGATTGTAAGTCTGATTGTACAATAAAAAAAAAATATTAAATAATTTTTCATTTCTTCATGACTTCATGACATTGTACATCTGATATTATATAAATATACATAAATGGAAAGCATCAAAGTGTCGATTTTACTTAGTTATTTATAAACGATCATTTGCCAAACAAAAAAAAAAAAAATTACATAACTGCATAAAATTAAAATCGTGAAAAAAAAAATTGCATAAAATTAAAATCAATACATATATTAAAAAATTAATTACGTAATTGCATATATTAAAAAAAAAAAAAAAATTTCGCTAAAGTGAAGGGATCAAAAAAAGAATTCTTATTAAAAAAAAAAAATTTTTTTTTTTTTATAAAAATGGCACTCTTATCATTTAACAGCAAAAATAATACCTTTTTTTCCATAATCCCTTTTTTCCTGCTTTACTTTTAAAATACTGTGGTTGTTTATCAGTTCTCTCCTTCAAATTAAAAAAAAATCGAGATACACTTTCTGGAAAGTAACTTTTGATTTTAAAATAAAATTCGATTCACGAAAAAAAATGAAACAACCATCATTCTCTAATATTGATTCTCAATCTGTCAATGGAAATGGAAACGAAATCGTTTTTCCAAAGACTTTAAAATGGTAAGTTTTAAGAAAGAGGAAAAAAAAAAAGTATTTTTTAATGAATTATTTTTTAATTCCGCCATTATTGTCTATTATTTTAATTAGTTCTCCGTATAAAAGAGAAGATATGGATTCTGAATCGACTTCCATGATCAAATCATCGTACATAAATCGTATTCTTCGTAGACGAAGAAATAATCGTCAAATAAGATATGCCAATACTTATCCACTATTATATCTTATTAGAAAGTTACCAAGACAAAACACAAACAATCCATTCGCGAAGCAAATATTTGGTGGTTCCAGTTTCCACTAAAGATTATTTTCGATATTGACTCTATTCCGACATTCGTTTTAATAATACGTAAATTTATTTATTTAGATATGCAAAATCTGTTTAATGACAAGACTCTCGAATATTATTGGCAAATTCGCATCCTCATTTAACAAATATTATAAAGTGGCTATATATTTTGTACTACTGATCTCCAATGCACATTTTTTTTTTTCAACAACGATTTTTTAATTTTTTTTCAATGGCGATTTTTTAATTTTTTTTCAATGGCGATTTCAATTTTTTTTTTCAATGACGATTTTTTAATTTTTTTTCAATGGCGATTTTAATTTTTTCTTTTCAATGACGATTTTTTAATTTTTTTTCAATGACGATTTTTTAATTTTTTTTCAATGGCGATTTTAATTTTTTTTTTCAATGGCGATTTTTAATAAATTTTTTTCAATGGCAACCTTATTGTTATTCATTCTTCTTCATGCTGCTATTATCAATTCGTATTGTTTAGTTACAAGGTAGCAAAAGTAATCGGAATTCAAAAAAATGTAATTGAAATTGCTTCAAATTTTACAAACAAAAACATTAAAAATAAAATTTAAGCCCCTAATATTTATAATAAAAATTATAAACAAAATAATATATCTTTAATTGATTTATTAAAAAAAAATTGGTTCTAGTATGCATTAAAAAGACTGCGGTCAATATAGTAAAGAAACTTTGATCTCAATTTTCTCAATAAAAGGCTATACTAATTTTCGCCTCAGGTTCCCATTGAATCCGACGTGGAATTAGCTCGGATTCCATATAATGACGGCAGAAGACATGGGTCCGGATGATTACGAATGATTACAAATCAAAAAATTCCAGATGTTGATCAATCGGACCCGGTTCACTAGCCAGAATCAATGGAAGTAAGGCGAAAATCAGTATAGACCCAAATAAAAAAGTGGCAAATTTTTTTAATAAAATTAGCTTGATGTAAACTTTAATTTATAATCATTCAACCTTTTAATGAACTGCAATTTAATACTGTATCAGAATTTTCAGATTTTTATGGGTTACAATTTTTTTTTTTTTTATTTTTTTTAAATTAAAAAATCAATTGTGAGACAAAGAAATAAGATAAAAGGCTGATAATTTACATATACATGTTAGTGACACATTTGGCAACAAATCTTAACTCATTTATCGCAATTCCGATTTGCAAATCACCGATAAATACAATATATTAATTTTTTAATCCTATTTTTTTTCCCTTCTTTTTTCGGAAATCTGCATAAACAATTATTAATTAACATATATAAATTTTCAATAGTAAATTTTTATGATGTTTACAATTGTTTCTTGAAAAATAAAATGAAAAAACAAAGTAAATTTATTTTTCGAAGATAATTACATCATTACGCCATATGTATGTGCATGCATATGGGTGACCACTGACCAATAAAACAATCAAAAAAATTTTTTTTTTTTTCAAAAAAAAAAAAAAAAAAAGAAAGA